AGGCTCAGGGTGAGTGGCCCTGACTGGTTCAGTGGTTTGTAATCACACTCAGAGTAACCATGAACTTCAAAATCAAATCACACCCAGGCAAATCCACGTCTCCCACCTTCACAGCGGAACAAGAGAAACTGTTGACTCACCCTGCGTCGCTGCTGTTCCCACAGATTAAGGCATCCTTGGCTCCCTCCACCTTGTAGAAGTTGTCTAAAATTTAAAAAAAAGAAAAAGGAAGAAGGAGAGATTTAAATCTGAAACTATCTTTTGGAGAATCCTCCTCTTCCTCACCCCCTTCCCCCCCTACTGAGCCACACAGGTGTTTTCAGTCATCATGTTGATCAGGCTTCTCCTCAGGACTACGTGGGCGTTCGCTGACATGTCCCTCTTCCTCCTGTGTGCACTGCACAGGAACTCCTCTTCATCGTTCTTACCTGATAGAGGCTGCACTAGCTGAGATGTAATGAGGATGAATAACACAGTGAAGGATGATACTGTACTTAAGGCTTGCGAGACCTTTACAGCAAGAGACAAACCTTTGCAGAAAGAACATTAAACTTTTTTGTGAAGCTCGTTTCAGCCATGTGTTCACAGAGGAAAAACAAATGTCAGACTGTATAAAAACTGGGTTTGTAATTGTGCTAAAGTACGAGATATTTTTAAGAATGTGTTGTGTCATCTCCTGTTGGAGGGAAATGGTGATGTTGAAGCTGCTAAATGGAATTCAGGGACCATTTATTTTGTAATTTAGACCAGTCTTATTCCTAATGTGGCATGTCAGAATATTTTTGGTGCTTGTCATCAGTCGAGGTTGATTTCCCCGAACCCTAAAGTGGACCTGCTCTGCTGTTCTTAATTTCCTGCCATACACTGTACTGTTAAAATGATGGATGCTCGTAGTAAATATGTGAAACTGTTACACAATGACGTCAGAATACACAGAAATAAGCCCTACGAGCCAAAACTTCATGCTTCTCTAAATGCTCAGTTTCAGCACGCAGCAACTTCCAGGTTGGAAAAATGAAGCCAACAAGGAAGTGCCAATTTCTCTAACGTCCACTTGAAACGCCAGCAGTGACTCAACGCCCACAGACTGCCATGTTAATGTGACAGCAGAAATAAACGGGTTACAATCTGATACAAAAACGGCGTTGTCACCTATGCATAGTTTCTCATCTTACGACAACTCTTACCTCCGTGAATTTTCTTATAACGCCATCTACTAGTATTAGGGGCGTGGTCACTCTTCCTGACAGAGGTCATCCATGTTTAGCATGTCCTTTATGTTTCCATGTTTTCTTTGTTTCATTTATGTCTGCTCATTTCCGTTTTTCCTGTTTTGCTTTTGATTTGATTGAATTTTCTCTTTCTTCTTGTTTTGAGTTTATTTCCTCCCAGCCCGTTCTCACTCCCGAGGCGTAACATG